TGTGTGTGTGTGTGTGTGTGTGTGTGTGTGTGTGTGTGTGTGTGTGTATGTGTGTGTGTGTGTGTGTGTGTATGTGTGTGTGTGTGTGTGTGTGTGTGTGTGTGTGTGTGTGTGTGTTTTGAGAGACAAGTTTTCTCTGTGTAGCCCTGGCTGCCCTGTAACTCACTCTGTAGACTAGGCTGGCCTCAAACTCAGAGAGATCCGCCTGCCTCTGTCTTCCAAGTGCAGGATCAAAGATGTACACCACCACTGCACACCACTGATGTTTGACATCATTTATCCTCCAGCTTCTACATTTTTTTAATCCACTAAAAAGTGCCACAGTACAATTTGATGTGCTTGTCTGTGTGGTACCTGGCATTATCTCCCACTGCACATCATAGGACCTCATGCCCAGATAATGTCTTTCACTTCTGGGTGATGACTCAAAATTCATGCTTCCAGAAACCTCTCCCCTGAACCCAAGCTATGCACACACCTCTTATCCTCACAATGCCTACCACTGTGTCCATCCTCACACCATTCCACTGGCTCACTTTTCTTAATCACCCCTTCAGTATTTCCCTTCCCTGGCGTCTAATAGCCAGAGATCAGTTCACATATTACCTCCTCAGAGAGTCCAGCCTGGAAAAGTAAGCTAGCTTCCTGCAATTACATCACTTTACCAATATAAGCTGCATTCCCTTATTTGCTTCATAGTAAATGCTAGTCAACTTTCCATCACTATAAGAAATTACCTGAGAGTTAAATTATAAAGAATAGAGGATTGTTTGACTCACAGTTTTAAAGGTTCCAGTCTGACAGTTTGGCACCATTGATTTGGGACTGTAATATGGCTAGAGTTCGTGGTGGAAGAAAATTGCTCAACTGTGTACCTCCAATAACCTAAGAATCTCCCACGAGATCCCACCACTCAAAGATTCCACCATTTCCTAATAATGCCACACTGACCAGTCAGACCTTAATACATGGGTCTTAGAGGGGACTTCAGCATTCAAACCATAGAATAGCACATGTTATAGTCTGTGCAGTTTTGCTTGGTTTATTATTTTCTCGTTTTGTTTCTGCTAGAAAATGTGCTCCATGTTGGCCAATGTTCTTGTCTTTTTTGCTAAAGAGACCTTCGACTTGATGTGCTGGGGTGGGTTGGTTGGGAGGCTCCCCTTTTCTGCAGAGTAGGGGGGTTAGATGGGGAAAGAAGAAGGGAGTATGATCAGGAGTAGAGGATGGAGGGGGCTACAATCAGGATATAAAAGTTTGTTGATAAATGTTCCTTGATAAATGTTTGTTGATTGAATCAGTGGATTTATCTATGACAATTATCTCCAGACTCATGTTACCATTGATAAGGCCACTAAAATTTACAGTTTGAATAGTATATTGTCATGTTATCAATGTTACCTATTGATATGCAGAGCCTATTAAAGCAGAATCCCATTTTATGCAGGATAAAAAAAGAAAATCAAGTTAAGGAGGTAACTAGAACTAAAGGTATATTATTATTATTTTATTATTATTATTATTATTATTATTATTTATTATCCTCACACAGATGTAGCTGGTGGGCAGCTTGGTCTTCAAGTGGGTTCCCTAGTAAGGAGAGCAGGGGCTGGCTCTGACATGGATTCTATTGGCTTCTTTCTGATCACTTCCCCCTGGCAGGGCTGCCTCCGTAGGCCACAGGGGAAGAGGATGTGCTCAGTCCTGATTTGCCTTGATGTGCTAGGGTGGGTTGATTGGGGAACTAGCCTTTTCTGCAGAGTAGGGAAGTGTATAGGGGAAAAGGAGGGAGAGTGGGACAAGGAGGTAAGGAGGGAGGGGGCTACAATCAGGATGGAAAGTGAAAACAAACAAACAAATAAATAAATAAGCAAACATTTAAAAAAAATTCTCATATATTACACCCTGACCTCAGTTTCACCTCACTTCTCTCCTCCTATTCCCTACCTCAGACCCTCCATTTCCCCCAGATCCACTCAAGGTATTTTTTATGATAAACTTGCAATGCCTTCAATAAATAGTAAGGATGTTGCCAAGTGAACGGGTCTGCTGCTCTCACTAGAGAAACTAAATATCCTGATTTGGGCCATGCTAACCTTGCTTTAGTATTGAAAATCATATATTCTGTAAAAACTGAGACAATAAACTTGTATTACCCCCAAAACAAAACCATTTAATGTAGATAAAATATAATATACTATGTAATCCAATCCCTGGTCATTCAAAATTGTCTAACTAGCTAAGTGTGGTAGTACAAACCTGTAGTCCTAACGCTTGAGAAAAGATTGTGAATTTGAGGCCAGCCTAAGCTACACAGAAACCTGTTGAAAAAATAAAAAAGCAAATACATTGGCTAAATCATGTAAGTGACAGAGATAGAGGAGCTGATAAACACATACAACTTGTGTCAAAGAAATGCTGGGACAGGAAGTCATTATAGCATTCTGAAGAGGAGCAGCTATTTAGAGATGTTCTCTGTAGTCCAGCCTTGAATGAGAAAGATATTAACTAACTACATCAACCTGGTTATCAAGCCTCATGCTTTCAGACTGAATCTCTTGATCCACTTGAAGTCCAAAACGTATTCTACATCATAGTGGAGCCATCCACTGCAGACACTCTGACCTGGCTTATTGTCCCAGAAAGGAAAACTCTTTCTTCTCTTCTAAGTCAGTATTTCCATTTCCCTCCCACAGTGCTGGGGATGGAATCCAGGGCCTTAGACCTGCTAGTTAAATACTCTATTACTGAGCTGTATCCTGAGTCAGTTCAAGAAGAGTTAACATCTTTAAAAAAAAAAAAAAATAGATCAGTGGCAGTGTGTGCTTTTAATCCCAGCACTCAGGAGACAGGAGGCAGAGCTCTATGAATTCAAGGCCAGCCTGGTCTACAGAATGGGTTCCAGGATAGCCAGAACTAAAACAGAGAAACACCATCTTGAAAAAAAAAAAAACATTAAAAAAATAGATCAGAAGTATTTTTTTAATCATTTTGGTAAAGTAGCTCAGTGTATCATAAATGTGCTGTGTGCGTATTTGGCATGTGAACACACATGTGTTATAGGAAGGTAATGATTGCCTGGTGGCCTTGTCTGTTCATCTGGGGAGAGATTGTAAGCATTCATTCATGCCATTGAGTAATCATAGTGAAGCAATTATGTATCACATTTTGAAAGAGTCATCTGAAAAAAAAAAGTTCACAGCTGAGATGACTCAGACTTAATTATCTTGCTGTTTCAGCAGCTACCTTCAAGGCTCAAGGTAGAGAACACTCCTGTTTCGAAGGCAAGGGAATCAAAGTACTCCAGCTTTGGACGCTTCCTGAGCTTGAGGTAAGAATCCCAAACAAACTTCAGGTCTCTACTAGCCCAGGAGTTGGGATGGGGACCTTCAATGCAGACTTAACACTGAGTAGTCAGCTGTCAAGTGTTCTGAATTCTTACTGCCTTGGGATTTTTCATGCTGTGTCTGTTCGTCATCCTGGTTCATCTGGAGCCCTCCTAAGAAAGAGGTTTAGAGAGCCCTAAGAACAGGGAAGAATCAATCCGGACAACATATCTAGCTTGAGTTGGTTCATAGTGGCATGGAGTTTGGCTTTTTGATTGCTTCTTTTATCCTCCATTTCAGAGAGGAATCTAGCAAGTGCCAGGAAATTCTTTAGTCTTTCAGTCATTGCGGTTAGAACTAAGGAGCCATTGTGAACTCTGTGCTTCCGAGCTGCGTCTCAAACCACATCGGTGACTTATTCCTGTCACCACAAAACTGTCCTCCCACTCGTCTGAACACTTGAATTTGTCACAACTTGGCAGGAATTTTTGGGACCCTCTGTCACTGGAACTCTATATCACAAATGTAAGGACAGAATCCCTCAAAAGATTTTCCAATTCTGCCCATATTTCCTTTACACTTTTACATATAATTTTTCCTTAACCAACACATTGGAATGACCTAGTAGAGACATCTTCAAACCCGTTGGACTCAGGTTTTCAATGCGTCCCTTTGTTTAGAATGTTGTGCTTGACTTACTGCTTGCTCCCCTATCCAGGGTTTCCAGATCCGTCAAAGGTCTTGCCAGTAATAGCAGTGGGAAGTTCAGCTCCGAGTCTCCAAACTGTTTTAAACTGTACTGGTGTTTTATTATTCCTGGTGTTTGGGACAACCAGATCATATAATCTAGGGACATTTTTCTCTCTGTGGGTTGCCAAGGAAATGTCATGGTGGAGGCTTTGAGTCTTAGAAAGAAACAGTTCCTGAGAGGCCACAGAATGGGTAACTGGCTGGGAGGACTTGTAAATCCTCTTGGATCCTTTCCTTGAGTGGGCAGATCACCCTGCCCTTACTTGTCAGACAAATTATTTAACCTTTCAGAGTCATCAGCTTGTCTGGCAGGGTTACTATCCTCCTTTACCCATAAATCATCAACTGAAAGTTATAGACAATCTAGGCCTTTCTGCTCCAGTAATGTCATTCTCTCATAAGATGTCTGGAGGGAAAATATGTTTTTCTACCTACAATTTGAGTTTCTGGATCACCATCAAAGTACACTGATTCAGACACTCCCCTTAACCAAGGAGGGAAAACCGTTTTAACTCTGGAAGGGAACTTAAAATTCCATTTGTGTCCAAGAAAATATCAAAGAAACTTGCTCAGAAATGCTTGAAAACTTTCTGTTGCTGGTTGGATTTCTTCCCATTGAAAGTGTCACCAGGAATCCTTACCTTAAAAAAAAAATCTCTAGATGAAAACAAAAATCTAGCATTTATCAACTAATTTGATGAAAAATAAAAACAATAACACTAGAATTAGGAACGAGAAGAACAAGAGTTGATTCTCAGGTGCCTGTGGGATTGAATGAGTAAGTAGGACTTTATAATCCTCCATTTCCATGTGTCTAAACTGGAGATAAAACAGTAATATCCACCTCATGAGTTCTGTGGCTAGTTAAAAAAAAAGAACACAAATTTGTCACTATTATGCACTGAGACATTTCAATGCTTCATACTGCTGTGACCCTGTGCATACAATGTGATGTTTGTTATGCTTTTTAACTGCAGATATAAAAATATTTATATATGTGCATATACATGTGTGTGCACATAGTTTAATTATTCTTTTAATTATTCTTCTAGAATCTCTTTTTAATTCTTTATTAATTACACTTTATTCACTTTGTATCCCCCCCCCCGTGGTTCCCTCCCTCCTCCTGTCCCAATCCCTCCCTTCCTCCACCCTCTGCATGCATGCCCCTCCCCAAGTCCACTGATAGGGGAGGTCTTCTTTTCCTTCCTTCTGATCCTAGTCAATTAGGTCTCATCAGGAATGGCTGCATTGTCCTCTTCTGTGGCCTGGTAATGCTGCTTCCCCGTCAGGGGGAGGAAATTAAAGAGCAAGCCAATCAGTTTATATCAGAGACAGTCCCTGTTCCTATTACAATGGAACCCACTTGGACACTGAACTGCCATGGGCTACATCTGTGCAGGGGTCTTAGGTTATCTCCATGCTTGGTCCTTGGTTGGAGTACTAGAATCTCTCTTATCTAATTAGAATCTTGCTGATGTCCTGTTCCTGAATGTTCATACAGTCAAGTTGGTTCAGGCTCTTACCTTTACTTCTCACTTCTATCAAAAATAATTCTCTCTGACAAAAACCCCTCTGGTGCCCATTTCAGAGTGACATTTCTACTTCTAGTCTTTGTCTCCAGGGGTACTAATGGGGACACCAGCAGCATGGCCTCTCCACTTGGTAAAATGTAGAAATTAGTAAATATCTACTAATCTGACACCCTGGGATGTTCTTCTCACTCCCATTATTCCCATTGCTCTAGGCCTAATATCCACTCTAGAATCGTGTGTGTGTGTGTGTGTGTGTGTGTGTGTGTGTTATGATGGGTATGTGTGTGTTTTGACAGATATGTATGTGTTATGATGTGCATGTGTATATTATGATGGACATATGTATGGGTATTCTTGTGTGTATACCTTGTCTCGGAGGCAGCAGGTTAGGTATTTCCTATCTCTCTTCACCTAATTTTTTGGACAGAATTTCTCTATGATCTGGAGCTCACATTTCAGCAAGACTTGGATCCTCCTGTCTCTGCTACATACCCAATATCTCCTACTAAGCACTGGGGTTATAGATGTACCCTGCCATGCTTGGCTCTCATGTGGCTGCTGAGGATACAAGCTCAGGTCCTCATGCTAGCATAGCAAGCACTTTACCCAATGATCAATCTTCCAGCTCTCCAGGATCCCTTGACCACCCTGCCCCCAGGACAATTACAGGATCAGAAAGGCCTAGAATATCAGGAAGCCTCTGGACTTGTCTCCATCCTGAGTATAGGATGCTGTTAATATCCCAGTGCTTTCCATGATATGAAAGCTTCACACCTGTTAACCCTCCTCATATCTCCACCATCAGATAACTTCTCGATTGGCCAGAGGCCTTGCACTCCTACTGAGTGCCTCTCCATCATCTGTCTCTGCCCTTTATCCTCATAGCTGTCTCAACCTTTTCTCAGCTCTGCTTCCCAGGCTCTTCCTGAGGATTGCTCTGCAAATCAAAACCAACTGTGCAAGGCTAAAACATCACACTAGATTCACAAGGCTATACCAGTGTAAAATACCAAAATGTCCCAGAGTGTCCTTAACTGCCCTGACCACCCCTCCTAAATGCCCTATTTCCCCCATGACCCAGATCCAACCCCCCCCCCGATCCTGCTGCAAGACTACACCCCCATCTGATGGGTGTCTATACTCTACTAGTTTATGATGCTACACCAATCATTTCTACAATAGACTGTGCTGCAATCCTGAGTAAGATTAGAGCTATCACTTCCTTTATGTACTCATTGATTTATTCTACTTATCCATCACATGTGACAACGCATACTCACACTCATGCACACCACATACACATATGCAAATAAATAAAAATAATTGAATGGACTTCTAGGGCCATAAGATTTCTGTTCTTATCCCTAGCTAAATAACAGCATAAGCAGTAGGTTTTCTATTTTTGTTTTGTTTGTTTGTTTGTTTGTTGGGTTTTTTTTTTCAGACAGGGTTTCTTTGTGTAGCCCTGGCTATCCTAGAACTTGCTCTGTAGACCAGGCTGGCCTCAAACTCAGAGATCTGCCTATCTGCCTCCAGAATGCTGGGATTAAAGGCCACCGTCACCTGACTATGTGGTTTTAACTGGCTATTATTCATGTATTTAGGGACTGAGGAGTTACCTTTGGTTTGATATTAGATATGTAGAGGAGGCTCCTGGAAGGCAAGGTGAGAGATGCAAGCAGAGCAGGGTAAGCTTACACTTAAAGATAGAGTTATGGACAGGCGAGTCAAGAGTCACTTTCTAAAACTCATTAGTAAAAATACTAATCTGAGCCCAGCCCCCCTGTGTGAGTTTGGTGGTTTATGCATTAGAGAAAACCACTAGTTCAAAGGATGAGTGAGATATCCCTCACCTCCTAAAACAAGCTCACGTGTCAGTGAGCTGCTTTCCTAACATGCTCACCACTGGCATGACTTTGATCCAACAGGGGGCATTTTTTTTTCCATTTCACCCAAAGGCCCAAGAAAGAGTAGTAACAACCTTGCTTGTCCCTCCTTCCTTAATACACTGTTTTGTCCTTCACAAGCAATTCCCTAGACGATCCACTTGTGTACATCATTTGTCCCCATCGCCATGATTGTCACCTCTATGGGCCAAACTTCTCAACTACATTAACCAAGTCCCACCCCACCCACTTACAATTCCTACTTCTCTTCACCTGGGCTGTTCCCAAGGTCTGACCCTCTTCTAATTCTTATCTGGCCACACCACTCCCTCTGTTTAAGCACAGGGATCTCAGAAATGCCTCTGTGTTAACCATCTTCCTTGACTTGTTTTAAATTCATGTGACTTTGGCTTTGTGAATTCATCAGTGACAGCTCACCCAGACTGGAAACACCACAAACAAGAACCAAAGCTTGTGTGGGATCAATCATTTGGCTGTCATCCAAATAAATCTACACCACTGTTGCTATTGGCATCTGTGATTTAGCGGAGAAAAGGGGGATGGTATTCATTCATGGAATGACATTAATTGAATAAGCAAACAATTGATTACTTATACATTCCAAACTCTGGGTGACATAACAGTGAGTGCAATGTGTTTCCTTTCAACACATTTCCTATCTCAACAAGATATGTCTATATGACTACCTTGAGCCAGGCATTGTACTAGACTCTGGAGTTACTGAAGTAAAACACTCCTTTAGTGAAGGGACAGAAAAATACTGAGACAAACACAATGCAGGGCCATGTTTACCTCATACTAAGGTTTCAGAAC